GGTCCTGTAGACCCTCTTGAGTGATCATGAAGTTGACAAGAGTTACCTTTACTGCAGTCTCAGGTAAGTAGTGAGGATTTCGCAACTGAGGCAGACAAAAGATTAAAAATGAGTTTTATGTTTGACCATCCAAAATAAACCGAAAGCAAATACAAAGGACAGCAGTGTTGTAAAAAAGTTCAAAAGTTTCATATAGCTGGGAAATTACCGGTAAAATTAAGCAATATTATGGGTTGGCAATAAACATATAATATGACAACATACCAACTTTAGAGATGTCATGTGAAAATAGCTGTTATGCTCTTTCTTTAGTGACTATGATTTAATTCTAAAATTTACTTTTATACTTTTAGATATACAAGATAAACTCATCCAGACCGCGCCAAAATAAGATCTTGTGTCAGCTTGAGGCGAGTGAATGAACAATAATTTGATTTCTCACAATAAAATAAGCATGTCTAATGACACTATTGAACTTTACATAGTCTTGCCCTCCAAGAGGCTTCCTCATACAATATGAACAACTGTTTTGGCTTCTCCGAGATATCAGCAACGCCCCTGAAGGACATAGAAACCGAGAGGATAAATGGTCAACAGTTAGCATTTTTAGGAATGTTTGCTTTTCCTTAGAGGTGACGAACTTCAGCCCCCCGGGTTGCTTTTAAGGACGTAGAATAAGAACTAGCTCACCCTTGGCCTCTTTGGCTGATGTAGGAAGTGATGGTGTAGTTTTACACATTGTGACATACATTTGTTCATGATGCTTCAGAGTTTGCTTGGTTTGCCACCAAAAGGGTTTGCAATCTAAACTGGACCGGAGATTCGACTTAGCCCGAGTCTCATTAGACCATCAAAAGGGATCCAAAACAGGACTGTGAACACCTTTCGTCAATTAGTAGGTTGTCAATACTGCCAGTAGATCATATGAGGTGCATTGGCCTTATTTCGTCCAAGGTGATGAAGGACTAGTAATTGCTTTTTTCCACGATCAAAGGAGTAGGCCTCGAGTTTTCATTGAATTTCACATTGCATTGCATTGCATTGCTTCCCAAAAGGAATTCTCATCCAAGCTGAAGTGGACTGCACTTTCTAAATCGCCTCGGTCTCATCAACCTCCTCAGCGGGATTCTAACCGTGATAGTGCAGCGTATAATCTAGGCATGTTAGCCACTACGCCACATTGCCACGAGGACCCTTGGGTCACGGGGCAGACGTGAATTTCAAGGAACGCCATGCATTTTCCCATATCACATTCTGCGGTGAGATTGTCGATGCAGCAAAGTGATAGCTTTGCTACAGCAATCGACTATATTACTTATTTTTCGATTATAAGCAGGCTTTCGATACTACCAGTAGATCAGATATATGAGATGTATTCACCCTATCTTGTTGAGATGAGACAGACCTTTAGTGGCCACCATAATCAACGATGCTACTTATACCAAAACTGAGTATTTTGTAGGATTTTCACTAAATCTTGAATAAAGAGTTGAGTAGACTAGATAGAAGTCCACTCTAGCCGGGATGAAAATACCTTTTGGGAAACAAGGCAAAGTGAAATTCATTGGAAACGTGAGGACTTCTCATCTGATTGTGGGAATATTCAATTACAAGTTCAGTGCTTCATCACTTTAACGAAATGAGGTGAATTCATCTCATATATAGAGGCATTGAGCCGGAAGGTAACCACACTGCTAGAATAATTTCAATTTCAAGAATTGATGATAGTATCGAAACACACTTTTATAGAATAAAAGATGTAGAGAAGACCACACCATTTTGGTCTTCATATCTACGACCTAAAGGATGTAGAATTCAAAG